GTCGTTTCGGGACGTAAAAGTCAACCATGCACGAGATCGAAATGACAAACGTCCGTAAAAAGGGCGAAATGGCGCACCGTTGACTTTTACGAAAAAGTTTCGTGCGAGGTATTGAATGTTCGTGTTCGATAGCTGTTCTCCGACATGACGCGGGCACGGACTCGTTTATTCAATTAATTCTTCATATTTATTCGAAGTGGTTTTAAAAGCGCTGTTAAATAATCGGCTCGGGAGTCCTCTCTTAAATTCTATATCGGAAGGAAATCGCATCGATTCGCGAAGAAATTCTCGCCCGCTAATAAATTCGAAGAATGCAGTTAACCCTTGCTCCGGATCGAAAAAATTGCACCCGGGCCCTTTAAACGGTCCCAACAGGGCATTTGACTCGGGGGCATCGGGGGGTGTACCCGTCGGAGGTACATGGAATATACACCGAGCAAGGTACATGCACCTCCGTGGGGATTCAGGGGAGGGGGCACAGAGGGAGCATACACTTCCTCGGCAGGAATGGATTTTATTCGTCTGGCGAGTTCCAAAGCAAACGATAACGCATGACGTACGGGCTCGACTCGCCCCTGGCCTATCTTAGGGGCACGTAAACACTTTTCTCTTTCTATCTTCGGGAACGTGTTTCCACCCTCCCCCAGGGGAGGGTCCGATGCAAGTTCCTTGCGGCTTTGCGGGAATTTAAGATCCCAAGAATTACCTTCGATGGATGCCACGAGGGGTATGAAATATGGGGTGCCGCGGATAAAAATGAGAACAATCTCTCGGAATTATGTAATTAATACCGAGAAAAAATAATTTCTAATTTTCTCTCTCAGCCGCAGATTTTTCATCGGTCCGATCGACTGCAGGGGGCTGAGGGATATTTTGTGCTCTAATTACTAATTTTTAATTTTCTGGAGCTCGACGGTGGGGGATTAGAAAACGGGAGAGGGGTATGTAGGGTATCGGGGTTAGGTTTAATCTGTGCGGATTTAAGTCGGGATTCCGGGGGTAACGATCGGACCCGGTCCAAAGCGACGCCGAACGCGCGCAGGGGTAGCAACCCTCGCGGCCCTAAAAGTGGCTCGAGTCGGGCCGCGAATACGGGGCTGAGCACTGACCGATAAATTTTGCCAAGTTCCCGTATTGAATCAGCAAGGGGTGGAAAATCCGACTGGTACCGGAGAGTTACGAGGGTCGAGTGGCGACCTGCAGGGGTGGAAGCGAGTTGTAGGCATTGGAATCGACGGGGAAATATCGGGAACTTTTGGGAGATTTTACCTCCGCCAATGCCGCGACGGTTTCGCGCATGCAAACTTCGAAATGCTTTGCTTTCAATGCCCTTCCGACATGGGTGCCCCCTCAACGACGTTAATAACAATTAATATCCCGCCCGTGCGAGAATCGAAATTAAAACGAAAAACCACGAAGTACCCCCAGTGACTTATCGAAATTGTACAAATTGCCCCAACACGAGGCGGGTACCTAATGATTCCCTATTTCATTTCCTAATAAAAAAATCGAGCCTTTCGGAGGGTCCAAGTCCCGTCCAGAAATTTAATCGAGTACGAGGTACATTAGGGGTTTCGGGGTGGGTCATACCTGGAAACAATTAAATCTAAGTACCCGCTCGCATGTCGCCTGTTTAACTAGACCTGGATGCAATTTCATCAGCCGCAAATTGCCCCTGTTTGATATTTCTGATCCATCAAGTTCGGGTCGCATTACCATTCGTAGACGAGGGCGGGTATTACAAGGTTACGTCCTAATTCGGAACCAGTCATGAACCGCACGGTAAACGCACACCTGAGAGGTGTGCGTATAATCCCGCGTACACGCCCATTTCCCCGCGAGGGGTGCAATGGAATTAAACCGGGGTGGCAAAAACGGTAATGGAAGCGAATGACTTCTGGCCGAGCCTGGCTGGCCGAGAGCACTCTAATTGATTCGGGGGCTGGGAAGAATCGCCGGGGGTTGAAATTCCGAGTTTTCCGTCGGCGTTGCACCTTCTTCCGATTCGAGGACTCTTCTTCGCCGGGAGAATAGCCTCGAGAGAGGAACGGGATCCTAGACGCCGAGAATCGTCCCGACTACGTGGCACCTCGGTTCGCCCTTGCGAATGCGTTAAATTAAGGGGGGATTTTCAAGAACCTCCGGTGGATGCAAGTTGCACTCCGGTGACAATGGATATCGCCCAGGAGATGCTACAAAATAATCGGGATCGAATCCGACCCGTTTCTTGAATCTGAATAATTATTTCACATCTTTGTACGCCACTTACGGTGGATCATCCCCTATCGGCGGGGTTGAAACGACCTATTTTCCAAATAGGCTGTGAAAAATCGCGAGAGCATATTCGCTGCACTCGATCGATGCAAAGGTGCCACGAAACCGGGTGGTCGAACCGCATTCAGCGGGGAGGTCGGCAAAGCCTGAATTACCGGCACGCTCCAAGTACGCCGGATAATTGAGCGATTTTTAATCAGTCAATATCCGGCGGTATCGGGACTCGTATCCAATTTCTACTTTAATCGGAACTCCCATCTCCGGGGCCGATAGTACGCGGCCAGCCCCGCCAACCCCGAAAACTGGATCAGGGGCGATCCATCCGGCCGCATCTCGGCCACCATCTTGGTCATCCCCGATATTACCTCGTTATTGCTGCTAGCCGTTCAAACACGAGGTCGAGCCACGTTTAACGTGCTCTCAGCGAACGCACACACCCCTGTAAGCCCGGCACCCCTCGTAGGGGGTGCGGTATTTAAGCACCCCGCGGGACAGTTTCGGAGAACCCGAGGAGGGAAGGGTCGCAGCAATCAGGTGCGCTAATGCCAATCAATTATGTGCCTGCCCACCTTGCGCCACCCACCACCCCCGAACCATCCGAGCCGTCAACCCTTTATCGATAATACCACCTCCCTCGGACGGCTAGTGCCCGAGATGTACGTGTACGAGCATCGATTATCGATTCCCGGAATAGCGATGCGTCCCACCCCCGACCCACCCACCTGGACCACCCCCGGAGATACGTCACGTGGAGGGGACGCTGCGAGTGACGGGACGTCAGAAGTGCTCAACGGTGCTCCTAAGGAAAAGTTACTAGGCTCGAGATCTCCAGGAGGTCCGAAATTCGTTGGGAAAATTAACCCCGAAGGAGCCTCCTCCTTGTAACGATTCGTTAATTCGTTAACGAGTTTTGGGGGGTAAACTTCCCTCGAAATAAAACCTAACTTGACTCTATGCAATTCAATTTTGTTTTCGAAGATAGAAATCGATCTAACGTGAAAATTGCAATTTAAACAGATTTGAAAAAAGGGGTGTCAGGGGCTTTTGTGGGAAATATCAATGTCTACTCCAGGGCATATGGAACTGACTGATAACGTACGTGAGACCGCCTAATCGTGCCGGATGATATCGAATAAGGCCCTGGGAAGGCAAATCGGCTCTGCTGGCGATTTAAACGGCGAGGGGTGGCTTTCGGAATCCGGATTAAGGGAAGTCGATTGCGGCGCCGGTCAATGCGTCGGCTGGTCGGCAAGTCAGAGGGCGATCGATAACGGCGGATTGATAACGGCAGCTTCGAGAGCTCCTCTCGAGCCCCGGGCCCGGGGAAAATTGCTCGGTAAAAATCGAACGGGCTTGTTTCATTTCTCTGGAAGCAATTGTTTTTGGAAAGACTCCAGGTACTCTATCCATGTTAAATTAGATCGAGGATCCAAGTTTCCTTTCGGATCTCGATACGGCGAATTCTCCCACTCGCCACCTACTCGTTTTCGCATTCCGTCCATGTAACGAGGAAGAAAACATTTCTTTTAGCGGAAATAAGTTATCTCGCGCCGCAGCGACATTGATGGAACGCTCGTCCCCTTTTTCCTCTCCCTCCTATCAGCATATTCCCCTCCCCCGTCGGCACAATTTGAATTTCGAAGAATATCGACGACAGCGCGATGATCGAACGGGACGAGGTCGCGACTCTGTTTGAACAGTGTAGGAAAGTTGGAGGAATTAGAAAAGAGACGTGAAAAAAAAAATCGTTCGATCGAGATATTGCTGGTGGAGGTGTTCTCTTCCGACGTCGATTTCAATCGACTGGAAATCGGTCCGATCGGTCGATCACGTTGGACGAACGTTTTCCTAGATAAAGACGGCTCTTCCTCGTCGCAAAAAAATGCACAAAATTTCGGAAAAGTTCGGGACCTTATTCTTTAATATTTTTTAATTTTTTCCGGCCGGGGCTCAAGTAGGTACGTCGAGTGTCGGATTTGCAGGACTCGGGATTTTGCATCATTTTTCACTTGGCTAGCTGCGAGGGTGAAAAAATATCGAAATAAATATCTCCTAGTTACAGGACAGCGTTGTGATTTATTGCATCGAAATAAAATTTATTTCGGCCGAGAGGATCCCATTCGACGCGCGCACCAGCTCCCGGTCAAAATACGCGTTATTCGGCTGTAATATATCGCGAGACTGTATCTCCTATCAGCGGAATTTATTTATCCGCTTTTATTTATTCGCAGGGCCTTTTCCCGGAGGCAGTAAAAGCGCGCTCTGTCCTCTCTGGCCGCCGTTTAACCGCAAAAGTCCCTCCCGAAGTATCGCTCCATCGCTCGGATAACCTCAAGGATTATTCATTTTGCGGAAAATCAATCCCCTTAGCTTCTCACCTCTTGGCTTAACCCATCCTCGGGAAAGTCCACTCTTGCCACGAGGGCGACCTACCTCAACCCGATCCCTCGACCTTAATTTTTCAATGGACCCGTGCCGGAACACCGAGTGATCACGCGACGGGGATGGACTTCCAAAAATTGTGCGAAAAAATTAACCATCTTGACGATAATAGAAAATGCGGTAAAAATATGTAGCAACCTTGATTTTGCCCAGCGGTTCAATTGCGAGCAAATTCTGTCGGGCCTTTTTTTTTTTTAATTTTCGGCCACTGATGGTTAATTGCGTTTCATCGACGGGGAATTATTTTTCCGGGCGCATTTTCGAGAATCGAGGCTTGGAATTACCTGAATGCAGTGTCTCCTGGCGAGCCAGCCGATGTGCTGCAGTTTGAGAGGGTCCAGCAGCGCGGACGCCAATCGCAGAGCTTTGAGGGTGAGTGCCGCCAGGGCGGAATGCAGCGCGTTGAACCAGACGTTCGCCTCGACGCTGTCAGCCGCTCTCAGCAAGCACTCGTGCACCCCATCGGGCGAGTGAAGCTCCAAAATGCGGCCCTCTGAAACCAAAAAGTGCCGGAGGAACTCGTGTCAAAAGCGGCCCAAGGAGTGCGCGTGAAAGCTCCGCGAAAGTCCAACCCTAGAGAGCCGGAATCGGAATCGTCTCCGGGCTGGATACGAAAGAGGCGCGTGTCCCTTTTCGAGGATTCCTAGTGTCTCTTGCCGTATCATCGATAACCATTTTCCTGGGAATTTAAGAGAATTTCCTGGCAATTTCTCTACAGGTCCTAGGAGATAGAAATTCCCTGGCTCGAGATTTCAATTTTAAGGTCGAACGCGTTTCTTTAATTACTGGAATTTTTTTTTTCTACGCGTTTCGGATCTCGCGTTAGAAATCCATTTCAATCTTTTATCGTATCCCTTATGAACTCCGGTAAGTAAGCCAAGGTTAAGCGAGCTCGGTTCACTTAGGGTAGGTAAATTTTCCACGACGGTTACGGGGAGGTGGATATTTTTATGGATGCTAAATTTACCCGCAATGGGGTAAACGGGTGGGCAGGCATTGCGTCAACGTGTACCTTGATAATAGAAATCCTCACGTAATCGATATCGCTCGCCACCCCGACCGCGTATTCTTATCCTTCCACCGAATATAACCTGATATGATTCTGTCTCGTTTCGACATCATTTTCGTCTTCTTTATTTTCTTCTCTTTCGGAAATTCCACGGTATACGAGACGCATTCCCAGCGAGATTTTCCGCCGAGTTAATTCGAGGAACGACGACGTGTCCGAAATGCGGAGCGGAAATTCGGAATGCGGACGTATTTAATTTCTTCGGGGAGAATGGGACGTTGCTTCTAACCGCCGGGAGAAAATTGAACGGATAGAAGAAAGGGCGAAACAAGGCGCGGCCAGCGTATCGTAAATCTCATCTGTATCTTTTTGCAAACGTCTGCTGTTCGCGACATCCGTGCCAGCGGTGGTAAACGGTGAGAAGGTTGATGCGTGAAAAGAGGAGGAGAAAGGCAGAGAGGATGAAGAGTCGAGGAAGATTCAGGGCAAAGAGACAAAAGAAAATATTGAATTTCTCCGATCAAAAGGAAACCCAGGGTCCAGTTAAGAGCCGACCTGAGAAAACGGCAATTTTTGCGTCAAAAGAGATTTCACCTCGAAATTGAAACCATTAATATTTGTTTGCGGTAATTATTATTCCCAGGAAAATAGTCTTCATAATTTGAAGATCGTTATTTTCGTTTCATGCTTTTCCCCGAATTTCCTCTCGCAAAATGTGCGTTTTGCCGAAAAGCACGATGCACGCACCATTGTTGCAGCGCAGTTAATTACTTCGCGTGCGCCGGAAATTTATCTTGTTATTCGGAAAATATTTGCGTACGAGCCCTTCATTGTTCCCGATCGATGGAATTATCATCTCCGGTTAGACCAGATTTCAGTTCGTACAGAAGAGTAATCCATTATCAAAACGAACGGAAGGGTAGATGCGTTGCACCGAAATGCGCAGTTTACAAGGAAGAACAAGTGGCGATACGTTTATAACCCCGATTCGACTTTCGCGCTTAATTGCCAATTTGCGGCGCCATTGATTCCGAGTTTCTAGTTTCAAAGAGAGAACGTTTATATTTTATTCGTACAAAAAATGAGAAGGCAATGGACGCGCATAGTGGATGTACCTTTCCTCGGGCATTTGCCTCCCTATTTGGCTCGTCAAGTAACGCAGGAGATATCCGCAATCCCGGCCCTATAGTTTTCGCATTACAGCCCCGAGTGTATTATAGATGCGTCGTAATTTCACGAATGGGTAACAACCCGACTAATTTTGCACATACAACACGATTCGACGGAAATAACAGAACGGCGGCAATGCTCCGGACGTGGAGTCGTTAGGCAACTTTACCGGCGCCAATCCTATTCCGCGGAATTGTTCGCAATCAGACGTACCGCAGTCTCGCGCTCGGACGCCGGCCATACAAGGCGGTCCATCTATCTTTACGGCCGGCACTTACTTCTTTACATTTAAAGGAGAGAAACGAGGCTGCCACCCCAAATAATCCGGCAGTCGGCAAATTTTAACCCCAGGTTTTCTAGATAAATTATCCAATTACTCGTAATAAATCGAAACGAGCTGAAAAATAATTCCATCCCACCGCAGGATATTTCGAAGAATCTCTCGTTTCGCGTCCGAGGCTCTAACCTCAAAACCGAGACTGCCGCTCTAAGAGGCGGTACTTATAAAAAATATTCCCCCGGGGGAGGGAAAAAGGAAAAGAAGAAACCGACGCCGGATCAGCGGCATACGCTCGTCTCCTTCGCTCTCGGTCTCCTTTGGCAAGTAAAGCAGGCTATCTGCAGTCCCGGCCCTAATAGTTTTCGCATTACAGTCTCCGGCACATTATAAAGGCACTATAACTTCGCGAGTGGATGACAACTCAATTTCAAGTTGAGTCTGACGTGCTCGCGTGCACTTGAAACTTGGCGAGCGCGCCGGTGTGCGTTCCCGCGCGGCCGCGTGAGGGTGGGCGGTGGGTGGTGGGTGGTGGGTGGCGCGCGCTCTCCCGCGCGGCCGGCAGGGAGCGTCGACCGACGGGAGCTTTACGGTTCATCACTGTTCATGCGAACTACCGTAAGTGTCTGCTCCGCGGAGAACGGCGTAGATACAGATATAGGCGTGTGTGCACATCCGGTGGAACCGGAGGCTATAAAGCCACCGGTAACAAACGCTGGCTGTCTCTTATATAAAGTATCCGCCTTACCGCTCGTCCTTCTTCCCTGTCCGCCCGCCCGGAGGTGCCACCCCGCGGGCGTCGCGACGCCGCCACCCCGCGAAAGGACGTTTTCAGGCCCGTTATGGCGAATCCCGGCCGAGGCCGAGTTCCCGGGATCGAACCGACCCTACCAAGGCACCGTTCCATCCCTGGACTCGGTTTTACCGATTTACCGACTCTCGTGTCCAGGATTTGTGCCCCGGGGGCAATTAGTCGACCTCACTTTTCGAGGCACGCCCGCGTCCCCGTCGTTCGAAATTAGCAGCGACGCCCTTCGCGGGGACGATCGCGAATTCCGGGGGCGTCGGGACGCCCGGCTGGTCTTCCGCTCGCGGAATTGAATTATTTCGCCGCGGCGACTCGCCGACACCCGAGATAATCTAAACTGCGCGCATCGCCCCGTCGTTAAAGCCAAGGTGTCGAAGTTACGTCTCAAAGGGGCCATTTAATTGCGCCGCTCGAAGCAGTTACGAAAGTTCGTTTAATTAACGAAATAATGACTCGCCGCTCGCCCGCTCCCGAGACTGGCGTTGTTTGCAGCCCGCGACCCCTGCGTCGCTCCTCGAGGCGTTGGGTGGCTCTTTGACGCACCTGCGGACACGTGGGTGCTTGCAGGTGCATCCAGGTGCACGCTCCCCCGTGGACATATATTTGAAACATCAGTGTTTAACGAACATTAATTTATTTCCGATCGTTTGAATGCCGGTAAACGGAAACTGCCGACTTAAAAGTTTCCCGCGAGACGACGAGCGGACTTGACATTTTTTCGTTGTCGGTATACGGGGCGAGTTTACATGTAATTATGTACTTTGACCGTTCGGCCGTTTGCATCCCTGGCACATATGTGCCCCCGTTGGGAAAGTCAGATACGAAATCTCTTTGTTTCCGCTGCGCAGAAATGTAGGTGAAGAGAAAAAGTGAGGGACGGAATAAGAGAGAAAGGGGAAAAAAGAAGCCCGGATCAAAGGGATACTTTGCGCGTATGTACGCGGACGAAAGATATACGTAAGCTCGTGTACTCGGTCGTATGTAGGCTCTCCTATGTACCCTCGTATGTACCCTCGCGTGTACGCGACCTCTCGCCACGGTAAATACGTCTTGTGGGGAAAAATGGCCGTTGGTGGCGGAAAAACAGCAATTGTCGGTGCGTTTTGCGACACGCACCTCACGTGGACTAAGTAATTAGAGCGAGGGTCATGGAGCGCTTCAGGTTTAAGAGAAATGCCTTTCCTTTCGGAGCGTACCTCGTGACCCATTTTCCTTTGACCTCGTGTGACTCGACCGACGACACTCCAAAGAGAAAATCCTTTAAGAGTCCTTTTTTTATCTTAAGGAATTTTCTCCGTTGGGTGAGACTTTAAAAGACCGTCTCGCTTTGCTCAACTCATTTCTTTCATTCTTCCCCTCCGCAAGTTTTTTAAATAAAAAATAAGTCCTGACTAAAGAATTACGTCTTTTGAATTTTCGAGTCAAGAAAGCCGGCAGAGAATCGCTACCGATGCACGGGTCGGGAGTCTGAGAAAAATCTTTAAAGGTGTTCCAAATTCGTGGCACTTTTAATTTTACATAATGCCTTTCCAAAAAGGCTAAAAGCCCTGAAACCCCCTCCTGAATAATGCATCGCGATCAATGTTACATTAAGGCTTTTACTACCTATGCATATTTCACTTGTAAAACATATAATCCGGGGAAGAAACCTTGAAACGTTTTACGGTCGACATTCGCGATAGAATGTGGATGGGTTATTAAACGCGTTGGCAAAATTGAACAATTCGATATAATTTTCCATTGGTCCGTTATCAAATAATAAATAAATACGGGGCATGACAAATTAAGCGTGTCCCTAAATCCCAAAACGACATCACGGCGGGTCCGAGAGAGAACCGGCGAGGCATTCGACGCGCGGTTCTTTGTGTCAATGAATGTAAAAGGCGGAGAGAAAAAAAAAGAAAAGATAAAGAGAAATCGCTAAATCCAAAGCGCCTCATGATATCCAGCGCATCCAAGAGAAATGTAAATCACGAAATAACGAATCAAATTTATCGCCCATACCGGGCGGTGCGCACGCCATAAAACCGCTCCGCGACGCATTCCTCCGTGCCATAAAAAAGCTGAGAGCAATTTCAAGTACCGAGGTTATTGGACGGGGTTTTTTTCCACATATTCAGCGGAAACGCGTGGGCGGGCCACACGAACGCACCCCGTTCCGCAGGCGGAGGGGTAGTCGCGCGCGAAGTGCGCGGAGCCGCGCCGAAACAACATTGGTTTAATCATTTT